GATAGTTTAAATACTTTCAGGAGAAAAAATAGAATAGCTATTATTCCTTAAGATCTTATTCAAGATATAAATTTAAAGTATACTCCGTATAACTCTTATCGGGAAAAAAGGGAACTTGTTTTTATTAGGGAATAGATTTCTTTTAGGTGCCATACGTGATATGGGTATACAATATATGGTAAGCCACCTACGCATACTGATGAAGTTATGAATAAAACTTATCGAGCACTTTTTACACTGGTTGATGCAATAAATAATGACGATGATCTTGATTGGAGTTGTGTTCAAAAAGTAAATAATAGTATTGACTCTTCGATTGAGATTCTTGCAGATAATAACGCCTCTGTTCCAACTGCTTCTAAAGAAGATTTGATAAATATTAAGACACGACACAACTAAATTCGCGCTACTATTGACCAAGCCCTAGCTCACCAAACGTTTGCTTAAAAATAACTTTGACAGGTTTAAAAGTAAACTTGACACCCTTGAAAAACAAGAACGAAAAAACCCTAAGACTTCGCGAGAAGATTGCAAACAGGAAAAACTAAACCTCAAAAACGCTCAAATAAAACTTGAAGCTGTAGATGTTAGAATAGTTGAACTTAAAGGTAATTTAAAGAGTCAATCTGCACTAATCCGCGACCTTGTTAACAGACTACTGGGCGATAGACTGTCTCTAGGTGAGAAAATTAGAACAAATTTTAGGCAGCAGGGGATAACTTTAGGGACAGTGTTTGCAGCTATTGATCCTACTATTTTTGCTCACGTCGAAGGAATTAAGAGGTTCGGAAGTGTCCCCTCTATCTAAACCTCCTAATCCTAAACCTGACTCAAAACCTTATCCTAAACCTAACCCTGCTAAGTGCCTACTTGACAATTCGAAAAATGCACTTCGTTGGCTTGCTGAAAAAATAGCTTCAGCTCTCCCAAGAGTTGTAGGCTCAATTATTGCATGGATATTCTGAGTAGCTACCAATGTTGCCGGGTTCTTAGCTGAAATTTTTTTGGGTTCTTCTGGTTACGGTCGGTAGGATCATTCTAGCAGCAGCTCAGAGGTATATGCAAAAATCACAACGTCTTGTTAGAAAAAAGACGCACGTAAAACAAAACTTACAAAGATAGCTGAAATGGTGGAAGAAATACCATTAGAAACTTCTGACGTGTGTGGTAAGGAAGCAAAAGCACAATTAACAGATGAAGGTATTGCTGAATTATTTCCAGATATATTTCCAGATATCCCTTTATATCTTTAGATCTACCGGAGGTGAGCCAGAAGAAGAGGTGAGCCAGAAGAAGCTCTGCTCTCTTTGAGAGCAGAGCTTGTTAAAACTATGGCTGAAAGCGCTACTATTACTTCTCTCTTTGGGTGGCTTAAAATACTGCAAATGTTCTTCCATCCAAGCCAAAAATTACTTTACAACAATGGTTGAAATTGAAATGCGCAGTAACTTCGATGTTCTTAAAAATTTTACCATCACAATTATTAACAAGAAAAAATATAATGGGTAATTATTTAGGCAGTGGTAAGCATTACTACCCCACTCCAGTATTTATCGAAAAATTTCTTTACAAACTAAAGCACCTTATATAATATAATTTTGACGCTAGAAGATGTAAAAAAGGGCCTTCGTCCTCCTGAAGTTACAGATAATAAGTCACGTTTCCCTATTACAATTGCCGACCTTGAAGCGCCAATAATTTATGTAAATTGCGAGTTTTCATTCAGACCTTTATTTAAAAGCACTTTTCTCAGATATGTGCTTACAAATATGTTTCCACCAGAAATTTGGCACGAGCTTTATGGTGTAGCTGGGTATTCATGCCTTTTAAACTTTGCAGTTTCAGCCGCCTCAGTTTATTGCGGTGTTTCTTGTTTAATGTTATACAGTTAAGACCCTTTATGCGCGCCCTTTATTGTTTCCACATAAATTACACTGTGAGACGAATCTTTTGGTAGTTAAATATTACCCTTTCTAGTGCAGCAGATTTCGACCTTGGAAAGTTGACATCAACCTAGCAGCGCTTGAAGAGGTACAAAACAATTTTCTTATGCCAACTGAAAAGGACTTATCATTCTGGCTATTTCACTATGATCCTCGTCGGTTTGATTAGGATAGAATATCTGAAGACTACTTTAGAATAAACAAGTATGCAGGACAAATTTCTAAAACTACGGATAGTTTTACTGAATCTGGTTTTAGAGCTTTATCTGAGTCAATAAGAGCTTATAACGTATGTATTTTAAGTGCACAATTTGCAGCGCGAAGCACGATTGTCGGTAACACCGCATTAACTCGTGATGCTCAAGCCGAGTTTATTAACGCATTGGAGGCGTATATTGCAAGACCGGAAGACTTCGGCTCAGGCATTAGTCGATATCAAAAGATTCTTTTGAATGCACACTCAACTTTAAACTTCGTATTGGCACCAAAATTTTATTTAATACCAAGCGATCTTGCCTTAAAAACTGACCCATTTGCGAGAATACAACAATGAGATTATTTAAGCCCCTCCGATGGCTTTTGGTCTCGTGTCAAATATTAATGGAGTTAAAAAGAGATCTATTGATAATCCTAACAAAGATATCTATTAATAATAAATCTATTAATAATTAACAAAAAATCCTGATCCAAAGTCTAAACCAACAAAGCCTAATCCTACAAAGCCTGAACTAACAAAGCCTGATCCTACAAAGCATAATCCTGCAAAGTCTGACCAAAAAAGTGATGGTAGTAACTCACTGCTCTCGTTTTTGCTGGTGGTGTCGTTATCGGCGGATGGTATGCCGTAAAGTATATCTTCTCTTAGACTTTAGGGCGCACAATGAATACAGCTAACTTAGTAAAAATGAATCACCAAGCGCACATTTCTTGGAGTGTTGTAATACAAGTGTTGATAGTGAATGAATGCTGTCCATTTTGAAACGTATACTTCATACTATATTTCTTCAATAGCATGACTAAAATTTCCGTTCGTCTCTTTTGCGTCGGCGTAACAAACTCGGGAAAGACGGCGCTAGTACTGAGCCTTCTCGAGCGCGTGCAAGAAAAAACTATTATAATTTTAATATGTCCAATGTTCTGTGAAATAAAATATATATTAAGAGTACAATCGGGTTCAAAAAAATGAATTTTACATAGTACCCTGTGAGTGGATTAGGCGGTGCAGTGTGCAAGGTATAATTGAAAGTATTTCAAAAATAATGGCGGGTGAGCGGTATATTTTTATCGTTGACGACTGCATTAGCGAGTCTGAGATGGATTTAAGACGCTTACTCCTCTCAAAACTTGCAATATCAGGAAAGTATTTAAAGCATTCGTTGTGGGTTCCTTCCCAGAGATATACAGGTATCCCGCAGGTACAGGTAGTTGTAAGAGACCAGCTATCATGCATTGCTATCCTCCCGCTAAAAAACAACTCGAGCTTCTTAATGATTATAGAAGAAAATGGAAATAGATTAATGAATGACATTATTGAAAATATCCGCTCACACTTTTCATCTAAACCTCACGCAGCAGCGCTTATTCACTAAGCTTCAGACGTAAAACTTGAGCTTTTGTGGATCCACAAACTTGTATATTATACGGTTATACTGTAGTATTAATTTCAATGTTAATAGCTATGATGATTTCGCTCATTTGAAGAAAACACGTGTGTCTTTACATAAAAAATCTCACAATGGAAACTATTCTTGAAGATCTGCTTCCGCAAGACGCAAATGACGAAAAAATAAGGTTAAAAATAGCTCAATATTTCCTTATAAGAATAGGTTAGGTGCTGCCATTTCATTTTCATTTTACTATACGGTTTTTATATCAGTATAAATCGGTTTCCTTTTTGCATTATTATCTGTTGCCAACTTTTTCCATTATGATATAGGAAAGATATATTCGAAAACGTAATTTAAGTGAGACACATCTAAATTTAGTACATAGGAATTTTCAACTTGTGAAACTATCAAGAAGTATATTGGTTGAAGCACTATTTCTTATCTGGTTAATAATATTTCTACACAATTTTAAATAACAAAAAAACAAAATTTGTTTGGTTATTTTTATTGTTTATTAGTTACTGCACTTAAAGGTTATGTCAATTAAAAATTTTTTTAAAGATACCCGGTGCCGGCTACATCAACAAAATGGCCGATTTCACACAATTTTCGGTTTTTATTGTCGCACTTGTAAGTCTTCTGGAGTCTTTAGATCAATTTCGCTCATCGGCATTAATGTGAGTTTAGTTAAAATCTTTTGAAAAAGTTCTTTAATTTACTACTGATCCTAGTTCTAGTCGGTTCTGACGAATTTTAACTATATATAGTTATCAAAACATAATATTTCTATAAATTACTAAAAAAATACTATAATTCCGACCAAGAAAGAGCTTATAATTACGGAAAATTACTAATAAACGATCAGAACAGATCATATTGTTAAACTATAATGTTGAATTCAACTAAAAAACCTATTAATTTAAGATCCTATTCAACTTTGTACGAGCGATTGTGATTTGAAGATAATTTAAAAAAAAAAAAAAATGAATCTTCGGTGCGGGTTTTTTTGCAACAAATATTTATTATTTATGATAGCGTAAAATTTATCGTTTGAATATTTTTTATCTTTTCATAATTCACAGACCTGACCATTTTACGGAAATATGTCGTAGTCAACAAAGTATCTTACAGACGCTATAATATTTTAAAAGTGCCTTAACTACACCGAGTAAGTCGTATTTGTCATAAAAAATAGGCATTGCATTTTAAAATTTTTCTTTCAAAGCAAAAGGTTTTAGCGCAGTAAAATAACGATCTTGGAACACTCTTTTATTATTAAAAGATTTTAAAAACAAATATAATAATACAAACATACATTAAAAAGTCCCGACGGGCATTTGTTTTTAAAAGTTACGTTCTAAATGTATTTTAAATGTCTTTTAAACGTCTTCTAAACATTCTTACGCAAAAAACGTTCAAAAGACATTAAAAATACATTTAGAACGTAACTTTTAAAAACAAATGCCCGTCGGGGTAATACAAGATTTTAAATTTTTATATAAAAAAAATAAGCCAACAAAATCAGCGTTACAAAATAGCATTACCTTAATTATTATAGTTAGATACATAAGCTCAACTATAATGAATTATCTGAATTATCTATTACATAAGTATATGTAAATATTTCACTGTAACTGCATATTTGGACTTTTGCTCTTTAACAAGAAGAATAAAAAATAGACATTCATTTCAAAGCGAAACATTTAGACATCATTTATCTTAGTTAACAATTATCAGTGCCAAATATTAATTATTTATATTAGTAACTGCCATCAGAGTTTGACCAACCTTGACTACCTGACCTGTTCTTACTAGAATTTTATTTATTTTAGCATCAACAGGTGATTTAATTACTATACTCATTTTCATTAATTCTATAAGCATTATGGGATCGTCTTTTTTAATGACATCATCTTCTTTTACTTTTATCTCATATACGCAGCCATATTGATCTGATTTTATAAGAAAATATGCTGATAAACTGTTATCAGCTTCTTGATTGTTATCACCTTCGTCCTTTTGATTTTCATTTAAAACCGTGCTTTCTTTATTTGAAAAAATACTCCAATTAATTTGCGTCGCAATTCTTGTCAAGTTGTGTGATTCTTTATACCTTAAAATAGATAGTTGGTTATGTTCGCAAAAGCGTCGATAATCTGACAAAGCTATTGAAACATTTTCAAAGTTTAATGTAAACTTTCCGAGCTTGTATTCTTCTCTTATATGAATTAGTTCATTGTCGTTTACTAAATAAAACTTAATCATATCAAAAAAGTCAAATAACCAAGGTTTAGAACTATATGTATTCCAAATGGGCAAGGTTCTACCAATTAGTTGATACCCACCAGGAGATTCCATTCCATAGATGCACATATATATACCTCCAATACCAACGGCTCCCTCGGGAGTAAATGTGCGGGCTGGATTATACTTTGTTGTAATTATTCTATGCCGCGGATCATACGGAACAGCCAGTGGAGCTCCTAAATAAACATCGCCTAAACCTAACACAATATAAGTTGTGTCAACTAAGATAGACGTTAAATCTTCTAATGATTTAAAACCATTTAAACTCTGTACAAAGTTACAGTTATCCGGCAAATACGGAGCGTTGTTGCAGATTGTTTTCATATATCTGGAAATAGCTTGGAGACTCCAATAATCGTGAAAAGCCAAAGGCAATCGAACACTTCTGCAAGCAATTTTCATTTCGTTAACATCTTTTGAATTTGGTATTAATTTTGTTATTAGATCTGCCAGTTGGTTAGCAGATATTAAGAATGGATTGTATTTAACGAGTAAGGTACTCACTCCTGGAACCATTTCTAAAACATATTCATAATTTAAATGTTTTAGTTTATTAAGAATTACTTGAATATAAAAACGATTTTCAATTTCGAATTCATTTAATTCAAACTCTACTAATACATGTTGATCGCCAGATAAACGAAATAAAACTTTTGGTTCTTTTAAATTTGGCATGCGAATATTAAAGACTGGGTTGATTGAATTGCATGGATCGATTTGAGGTGTTTTTAAAACGCAACACTCATTAAACTTGCCATTTAAAAGATGAGATTCTAACTTTAATGATTCTATAGCATAATTATAGTCAACTTGCACAAATCTAACTTTATCTCCTGGCTTAAATTGACCGATTTTCCAAGATTCGCTTTGAATAATAGTCAGCGGACAAACAAAGCCACCTAAACTTGGTCCGTCGACAGTAAGAATGATAGGTGTATTACCAGAAAAGTTTACTGAATTAATAGAATAAGCATAATCGTGGACGTTTGAAGGATGAAACCCTGCATCACCTCCACTTTTTCTTGACCATGTGGGTTTCCATACGGTTTCAAGTCTAATACCGAGTCTATTTGAATTATGATTGATTTCATACCAACTTGACCATAGATTTATAATATCTTCTTTTGTAAAGTAATCAGGTTCTGAATGCGGTCCTGCTAAAGCAAATACTTCCCATGTGTTTGATAATGTTGGTTTGAATTGTGGTGGCCATTTTAAAAAATTTGTTTTAATAGTATTTTTTGATAAAGGAATTGTATCAAACATCTTTAAAGTAGTGCCATTTAACCCTCCAAAATTGCCGGACGGAAAAGTTGATCTTGAACCTAAGTATGGCATCGTTTGACATCCACCTTGAATTGCTAAATAAACACGACAACCAGCAAAGTTTGATTGTTTGTTATCAAGTCTTATTTCTAAAATTCCATTTTTTGGCACAAAAATACTTTCGTACATATTGAAACTAGTGTTGTTTATCCTGACTTGAGCTGATGCTCCTGTAACTGCAATTAAAGAATTACAATTAAATTTTAAAACCAAACAATCATGTAGAATCTCGATGCCAGCAGCTTTAAAATCATTTTCAACAAGATAGTTTGCAATTCTAAAATTTCTGTTATCCATTGGGCCAGACGGTGGGACACCAATATTCCAATAACCAACTCTACCGGGATAATCTTGAATTGTAGAATACATTCCAGGTTCTAATACTTGAGCCGTATAGGAATCGTAGCTAAAGTTATTGAGAAAAGAAGTTAATGTTTTACCTTTAATAAACAATTCGTGTTTTAAAACCTCAGTTAAAAACTCAAGATTTGTATTTACACCTTGAATAACAGTTTTTTTAAGACATTTCAAAAGTTTTTTTACACACTTCTCTCTAGTTTGAGCAAAACAAATAACTTTAGCTAGTAACGGATCGTACAACGGTGATATTACAGTGCCATTTTCAATCCAAGTCTCAATTCTTGTATTCACATTGTCTTGAGCAAAATAGACGTGGGTTAATTGACCACAAGACGGCATAAAACTGTTTAAACAGTCTTCAGCATAAATACGAACCTCAATTGAGTGTCCTTTATTTCGACTAAAGTTTTTTAACGAAATTTTAGGTACTGAAAAACATGCTAGTTTAATCATTATTTCAACCAAGTCAACGTCAAACAACATTTCTGTAACAGCGTGTTCTACCTGAAGACGTGTGTTTACCTCTAGAAAAAAATATTCATTTGGTTTGCTGTCATCAACTACAAACTCTACTGTTCCTACAGATCTGTAACTTACAAACTGAGCTAACTTAATAGCATCAGAACACATTTTTTGTCGCGTTTCTTGACTTAAGAATGGCGATGGAGCTTCTTCTATCAATTTTTGATTTCTTCTTTGTATAGAGCATTCTCTTTCTGCCAATGAAATTACATGTCCGTTTCCATCACCAATGATTTGTATTTCTATGTGATGACAATTTGATAAAAACTTTTCTATAAGTATTTTGGAACCTTTGAACACGCTTTTTGTTTTTAGTTCAACCAAAGGAAAATATTTTAATACGTCACTTTTATTTTCACAGCGATACATTCCGATGCCACCACCACCTGAGCTTAACTTTAAAATGACTGGGTATCCAATAATTTCTGATTCTTTCAAGCAACTTTCGACTGATTCAACTATTGCGTAATCAGCTATCGGAACACCACAACTTCTTGCAATATTCTTTGAACTATGTTTACTTGAAAAATCAACGATATTTGTTGCCGATGGTCCGATCCAAATAATTCCAGCATTTTCAAATTTTAAACAAGCTTCTGCACTTTCGCTTACAAAACCGTACCCGGGGTGAACTGCAGTTACATTTAGCTTCAGTGACTTTTCAATTATATAATCCACATTTAAGTAATTAAGAGATAAATCTCCTGGCGGTAATTCTATTTTAAAGTCTGTCTCCTTTATATGCGAACTAAAATGATCTTCAGGTGTATAAATTCCTACCGTTTGAATACCAAGTTTTTGACAAGTTCTTAAAATGCGACAAGCTATCTCACCACGATTATATATTAAGATTATCATCTTTATTTTTTAATCCTAGCTAAAATATAACAAATATAATCTTAAAAACTAATAAAAACAATTACGTTAGTAAAAATTAATTAGTAGGTATTATTAAATTAAGGTTGTTATGTGAGGAAGTATTTTGTCTTTTGGTTTTCAAGGTGTTTAAAGTTTATAATGCCCGGCGAGATTTGTTATTGATCTAATAAAGATATGTACACAGTAAAAAAACTAACGCCAATATAGCAAAAAATTTAAGGCAAGAGTTGAGTAAAATTGACGCTTGTTAACATTTATATTCGGCGTTAAGCCGAATATAATGGTTAAGCGTTAAACTTGCTCAACTCTGCACAGTGGATCAGACCGTGACAAAAATACAAAAAAAAAAGTTTTATGGAATGATGTGAAACATAATATTATTTTTCCAGTAGATTATAGCATAGGAAATTAGTACTTTTATTGCAATATAAAGGCTTTAGTACAATATACATCATGTTTATTTGAAAAGATTTTAGAGTACTGAAAACTTTTAATCACTATTTACAATGTTGAGCAAACAATTTCAAATTATTAATTATCCTATTGTTTTTCGATTTCTAAAATTTAAAATTGTTTAGTAAGGTAATAGATTTTTTATTTGTCAATCCAGTTGCTATATTAAAAAGATAAAAAAATATCGATATTTTAAAATTATTTTGTTTTTTATATAAAATGTCATCAGTGAACTGACAATATTTTTTTAAAACTTAAACATGCATTTATCAATAGTAAATAAAGTTTGCCTGCATTTTTTTGCTGGAATTAAGCATTAAAATATTCATATAAAATTGGTAACCCCCTCAAATTGAGGTTTAAACTTTATATGGTCACAATTTTTGAACGCTAAGAGATAATACTTTGAAACTTAAAACTTATTTATGAATATAAGTCTAAATGAGACTAGTACCTAAGTCTAGTACCTAACCAGACTAGTACCTAGTACCTAGGGTTAGACCCCCTCAAATTGAGGTTTAAACTTTATATGGTCACAATTTTTGAACGCTAAGAGATAATACTTTGAAACTTAAAACTTATTTATGAATATAAGTCTAAATGAGACTAGTACAAAAAATGTATATAAAACAAATATAAATATATATATAAATATATATAAATATATATATAATATATATATATATATATATATATATATATATATATATATATATATATATATATATATATATATGTATATATATATATATATATATATATATATATATATATATATATATATATATATATATATATATATATATATGCATGTATATATGTATGTTTTGATATAAACCTGGTAAAGGTTGTGATATTATTTAATGAAGATAGTCAAAATTACAGTAACGTTGACCAAGACCAAATCTAAGTTCTAATCTAAGAAAATCTAAGTCTAAGGAACTTGTGTCACCGACAAACAAAACCATTTATGAAAAAGTAACTTAGATTTGTACTATTTTTATATTGTGGTGCGCATGCGCATTTCTTTTATATTGACTATGCCTTTTCTGTATAAATTAACTATAAGACCTTTTAGCATATAAAAAAATGTTAATGGTTGATACCAATGAATAAACTATTTTTATATGTAGGGTTAGGTAGTGTAGGGCTTAGCCTAAACTTACAATAACTATATATTTACAATAACTATTACAACAAAGCAAATGTTATTGTTGCTATGTAAATTTGGTATCTAAGGCAACAAAGCAATTCATAAAAACAATACCTTTACAAATCACATTATCCATTTAACATGTATACCAAAATTTGTTACAATACTGTTAATGGTTTAAAACAATAGTAATTTTGTCTTAAATTGACTTTATTATTACTAAGAAACCAGGTTGCTATGTAAATGAGGTTTTGATAGCAACCAAACAACAAATATATTACCTTTCTAAGAAGCACAGGCTTCATATTAGTACACATGCCAAGTTATTCTGACACTGTGCTCTGGTGTTATATGGGTGTTATATCGAGAATAATTAAACTATCGGTTCAACCGTAAACTATCGGTTCAACCGTAAACTATCGGTTCAACCGTAAACTATCGGTTCAACCGTAAACTATCGGTTCAACCGTAATATTGGGCGTTATATTTATTTTACTACTCTTATATTTACAAACGTAATTAAAAATAAAATAAAACGTGTTTTTAGATAATTATCAACCATATTTCTATGTTTTCCGCAAAAAAAATAATAAATTTGTTTGTTATTTTTTCATTACTATGTTTTCCGCAAAAAAAAATAAAAAATTTGTTTGTTATTTTTTCAATTTTATTAACTTAAACCTTTGAACGATAAAAAATCAGATTTTTGAATTTAAATTACAGAAAAATATTTATTATTGTTAAAATATTCAAATTTTTTACTATATATATATATATATATATATATATATAATTTTTTTTTTTAATCAATTAAAACCGCTACAATTTTAGGACTCTAAACTAGGTAATTTCAATGACAAAAACTGGGTAATTTGCATGCTTATCAAAAAAGCAAGCATGCTTATCAAAAATTACACAAAAATGACATCTTTAAATAAAGTCAAAACTAAATGGTTCTATGCATTGCTTTTCAAAACAAAAAAATGGATTGGAATTTTTGCTATCATATTTTAAAACTAATTTAATTGTTTTAGCACTAAAATTTCGCGCCATAGATTTATTCATGCGTGATGATATTATTTTAACAACGCAAAAAATTTAACAGCGTTTTAATTAGTTGATAACCGCTAATTACTGATGTTATAATGTTCTATTTTCATTTCGGCAAATCAATGTTGGAGCGTAAGTCACGTGACTATTTACAGATTTTCTCACCTCATTTCGACTACATTTCGTCACTTTTGCATTCAATTTCCACTCTGTTGCATTACATTTCGACAATTTAAAAACACTATACTTTGAATTGAAATTTTCATATTTATAATGGAATTTTTTCAATTCTTCAATATTTTAAGTGGGTACTGACATCATGAATGTGGTTTCAAAAATTTTTTGGGTTTACATAAATTATGTAGTGAAATAAACAACGTGGATATTAAATATTTCAAGTTACCATTAATGCAAGATTCATTGATTTAATTCTGAAGACGTTGTTAATAGAAGAGCTACTTATGCAAAACGATTCATGAACATTTTGTCTTATATAATTATGCAGGAAGATTCATGAACATTTTGTCTTATATAATTATGCAGAAAGGTTCATGAATATTTTGTCTTTATGATATAATTAATTATATATTATTTAATTATATTTAATTATATATTATTTATATTATTATTAATTATATTTAATTATATAATAATTAAATATGCAGAAAAATTTATGAACATTTTGTCTTCTATGAAAATAAAAATATTCTTTATTGATGAAGTAGGATTCAGTCTTTTAATGCCAATAAGAAGAGTCAGGGTTAGGGTTACATTCTTGAGCTGAAAAGAGGGCCACGCAAATAGTAACCAATACACGGTCAAGAAATATTTCTGTCTAATGTGCAAGGAACAAAAACGAAAATATTTTATTCGTCTAGTATTAGCACAATTAGTTGTTAATGAAGTTAATGGAGCTATCATAATTTTAGACAGTGTTCGTTTTTAAAAAAAAGCTGTTGTTCAAGATGAAATAGATAGCATTCTTTGATGTTTTTACCCCCATTTTCTCTCTTTTTAAATCATATCAAAAATATGTTTTCTTAATGGAAACAGTTTATCAGAAGATGTTCGTTTAAAACTGAAAAGAAACTGCTTGAAAATATACAAAACGATATATTGAATACTAGCACAAATTATTGCATAGAATACTAGCACAAATTATTGCATTGAAAACTAGCACAAATTATTGCATTAAATACTAGCACAAATTATTGCATTAAATTACTGGCACAAATTATTGCATTGAATACTAGCACAAATTATTGCATTGAATACTAGCACAAATTATTGCATTGAATACTAGCACAAATTATTGCATTGAAAACTAGCACAAATTATTGCATTAAATACTAGCACAAATTATTCCATTGAATTACTAGCACAAATTATTGCATTGAATACTAGCACAAATTATTGCATTGAATACTAGCACAAATTATTGCATTGAATACTAGCACAAATTATTGCATTGAAAACTAGCACAAATTATTGCATTAGATACTAGCACAAATTATTGCATTGAATTACTAGCACAAATTATTGCATTGAATACTAGCATAAATTATTGCATTGAATACTAGCACAAATTATTGCATTGAATACTAGCACAAATTATTGCGTTGAAAACTAGCACAAATTATTGCATTAAATACTAGCACAAATTATTGCATTGAATTACTAGCACAAACTGTAATAATTATTTAAAATCAAAATCAATATTTTTACTTTAATATTAACTGAATAAAAACGGTCGTGCGAGACTTTTAAACTGATGACGTCTAAAGACCTAGCATAATTATATAATTATGCTAGGTCTATAATTAATAATTAGCATAAAGATAGCATAATTTATATTCATAGTATAATAGCAATAATAATGATAACAATAATAAAAATAATAATAAAATATTAAATACAATAATATGAAACTGTAAAACCTATATATATTTTTATTACTATATTCAAAATAAAACAATTTTGCTATATTGCTATTACTATATTCAAATACAATATTGCTATTACTATATTCAAAATAAAACAATAGATTATAGATATATGCATTAAAATAAAAAATAAAAATAAATAAAAAAAAAAAAAACTTATACAAAATACTAAACGGAGGCGATTGCAAAGTAAATAGTTCATTGATTTTTTTTTTACTATTATTACATGTTACATGGTTTTATAAAAATGCCACAAACTTTACAGTCATTTTACAGGATGATCAAATATTTGATTGAGACTAAATGAATATTTCTATTATATATTTCTATTTTATAAGATTTACATTTTTATTTATGAGATTTGTAATTTTATTTTATTAAAAAATTTAGTAA